GTGTGTTGTCTGTGTGTGTTGTCTGTGTGTGTTGTCTGTGTGTGTGTGTTGTCTGTGTGTGTTGTCTGTGTGTGTTGTCTGTGTGTGTTGTCTGTGTGTGTTGTCTGTGTGTTGTCTGTGTGTGTTGTCTGTGTGTGTTGTCTGTGTGTGTTGTCTGTGTGTGTAGTCTGTGTGTGTTGTCTGTGTGTGTTGTCTGTGTGTGTGTTGTCTGTGTGTGTTGTCTGTGTGTGTGTGTTGTCTGTGTGTGTTGTCTGTGTGTTGTCTGTGTGTGTTGTCTGTGTGTGTTGTCTGTGTCTGTGTGTGTTGTCTGTGTCTGAGTGTGTTGTCTGTGTCTGTGTCTGTTGTCTGTGTCTGTGTGTGTTGTCTGTGTCTGTGTGTGTTGTCTGTGTCTGTGTGTGTTGTCTGTGTCTGTAAATGTTGTCTGTGCCTGTGTGTGTGTTCTCTGTGTCTGTGTGTGTTGTCTGTGTCTGTGTGTGTTGTCTGTGTCTGTGTCTGTGTCTGTGTCTGTGTCTGTGTCCGTGTCCGTGTCCGTGTCCGTGTCCGTGTCCGTGTCCGTGTCCGTGTCCGTGTCCGTGTCCGTGTCCGTGTCCGTGTCCTTGTCCGTGTCCGTGTCCGTGTCCGTGTCCGTGTCCGTGTCCGTGTCCGTGTCCGTGTCCGTGTCCGTGTCCGTGTCCGTGTCCGTGTCCGTGTCAATGTCCGTGGTCCGTGTCCGTGTTCGTGTCCGTGTCCGTGTCCGTAGTCGTGTCGTGAGTCCGCTCGTGGGCTTGCGTCCGTCTCCGTGTCCGTGTCCGTTGTCCGTGTCCGTGTCCGTGTCGTGTCGTGTCCGTGTCCGTGTCCGTGTCCGTGTCCGTGTCCGTGTCCGTGTCCGTGTCCGTGTCCGTGTCCGTGTCCGTGTCCGTGTCCGTGTCCGTGTCCGTGTCCGTGTCCGTGTCCGTGTCCGTGTCCGTGTCCGTGTCCGTGTCCGTGTCCGTGTCCGGGTCCGTGTCCGTGTCCGTGTCCGTGTCCGTGTCCGTGTCCGTGTCCGTGTCCGTGTCCGTGTCCGTGTCCGTGTCCGTGTCCGTGTCCGTGTCCGTGTCCGTGTCCGTGTCCGTGTCCGTGTCCGTGTCCGTGTCCGTGTCCGTGTCCGTGTCCATGTCCGTGTCCGTGTCCGTGTCCGTGTCCGTGTCCGTGTCCGTGTCCGTGTCCGTGTCCGTGTCCGTGTCTGTGTCCGTGTCCGTGTCCGTGTCCGTGCCCGTGCCCGTGCCCGTGCCCGTGTCCGTGTCCGTGTCTGTGTCCGTGGCCGTGTCCGTGTCCGTGTCCGTGTCCGTGTCCGTGTCCGTGTCGGTGTCGGTGTCGGTGTCGGTGTCGGTGTCGGTGTCGGTGTCGGTGTCGGTGTCGGCGTCGGTGTCGGTGTCGGTGTCGGTGTCTGTGTCTGTGTCTGCGTCAGTGTCTGCGTCTGTGTCTGTGTCTGTGTCTGTGTCTGCGTTTGCGTCTGCGTCTGCGTCTGCGTCTGTGTCTGTGTCTGTGTCTGTGTCTGTGTCTGTGTCTGTGCCTGTGTCTGTGTCTGTGTCTGTGTCTGTGTCTGTGTCTGTGTCTGTGTCTGTGTCTGTGTCTGTGTTTGTGTCTGTGTCTGTGTCTGTGTCTGTGTCTGTGGCTGTGTCTGTGTCTGTGCCTGTGCCTGTGCCTGTGCCTGTGCCTGCGTCTGTGCCTGTGCCTGTGCCTGTGCCTGTGCCTGTGTGTCTGTGTCTGTGTCTGTGTCTGTGTCTGTGTCTGTGTCTGTGTCTGTGTCTGTGTCTGTGTATGTGTCCGTGTCCGTGTCTGTGTCTGTGTCTGTGTCTGTGTCTGTGTCTGTGTCTGTGTCTGTGTTTGTGTATTTGTCTGTGTCTGTGTCTGTGTCTGCGTCTGTGTCTGTGTCTGTGTCTGTGTCTGTGTCTGTGTCTGTGTCTGTGTCTGTGCCTGTGTCTGTGTCTGTCTGTGTCTGTGTCTGTGTCTGTGTCTGTTAGCGCGGGGCCTATAAAGGCTAAAAGAGCCCACAAAAGGGCCAAGGCCCCACTGAGGGGCCAAAGCCAAAAGGGGCCGTCCCAAAACAGGGGGCGGGCCACAAGGGATCCCGAGAGCCCAGACGAGCCGCAGCAGGCTGCCACCAGGGCACATCGGCCCCGAGGCACCGCTCGGCCTGTCAGCTCAGACCCCCGTCGAAGGGCATCAGCGCGAAGCGCTGGAATATCAAGTGCAGCGCTGGCAAAAGCATATACTACACAAGACCACACAAGTGCAGGACCGAAAAGGATAGAAACGACACTAAATCCCATTCGACTCGCAACTGCACTAACCACAAACTCACTCACTCACGAGCTACAGTCCTCCGCACAATCTGATAAGGCGATCGATCTCCCTGGCACGCTCAACAGACATCCCAGGCGGAAGGGCTTCAACAAGACGAGGCCCGAACGCGAACCTCGCCCTATGATCTAGCGGCTTCCGTGTGGGAGGAATCCTGAGGCCGAAAGAGTCGCCCTCGATCGTGTGCATGAGGTCAACGGCGTTAGCGTGGCGCGTCCAGGCGGGGCCCAGATACCCTGGCGCGCCCCCCCGCCGTAGAATACCACGCAAGCCCGAGCAGCTCCCAATCTCGAAAACGTGCGGGGCATCTGCAAAGCGGACTCTCCGCACCCGCAGAACACCACCCGCAGCCTCGGGGACGGCGTCCTCGTCCAGCGATGGCCCCAGCCAGACTCTGGCGACGGCCGCGCGCGCAAGCCACCAGCCAGGGCCACGACGAGATGCCGCACTGCCAGGCTGCGAAACTGGCACGGCACCCTGCGGCGGGCCCGCGGCCCCACTCACCCCCTCAGAGCCGTCGACCAGGGCGGGGGGGACGCCCCTGGTCGGAAACTCAGCAGCAGCCGCCTCGCCACACGGAGTGTCCTCGTCGCCGTGATCCTCGAACACCTCCTCAACCGAGAGCGGCAGCGGGGAGCACGACGAGTAGCACGTCGCGCCGCACGTGCAGAGGCGGCCGCAGCCGTCCAGCGGCACCCAGCAGCCCGAGTTCGGGACGAAAGGGGCCGCGTCACGACGGAGCCCGCTCTCGGCCTCGAGAGGCGGGGAGCCCTGCGACAGCACGTGAGCCGCGGGCTGGGTGTCCGCCCTCCTCGCCTCGAGCCTACGCGCGTGCTTCTGGGCCTTGCGCAGCTCGGCATGGCCAACTGAGACCAGAGACACGCCGCAGGGCCCCTCGGAGTGGAGCGCCACATTGCGCCGAAGGATGTCCAGCGCCTCGGGCCGCTCGCCCGCGAGGAGGGACGTGAGGGCAGGAAGAATACAGGCGACCCTCTCCGCAACCTTCGCGTCGCCGAAAAGGTGCAGCAGCGCATACTCGAAGGCGAGAGCCTTGCAGTCAGCAGCCACCAGCCTGCTCTTCAGCTTGAAAATGAGCCGGTCGGCGGACGCGCGCGCACCGGCTGCCCCACGGAGGGGCTCTCCCGCAGCCACCATGCCTAGCTCAGGGGACCCCGCATGGAGCCTTGAGCCAGCATGGCTTGAGCCAAAATGGCTACGGATTGTGTCTGTGTCTGTGTCTGTGTCTGTGTCTGTGTCTGTGTCTGTGTCTGTGTCTGCGTCTGTGTCTGTGTCTGTGTCTGTGTCTGTGTCTGTGTCTGTGTCTGTGTCTGTGTCTGTGTCTGTGTCTGTGTCTGTGTCTGTGCGTGCGTGCGTGCGTGTGTGTGTGTGCGTGTGGGAGATCACACAAGCCACTGTCTACGTATGGTTCGCAGCTGGAAGCACCACCTCCACCTCCTCCTCCTTCCCCTCCTCCTCCTCCTCCTCCTTCTTCCCCTCCTCCTCCTCCGCCGCCTCCGCCTCCTCCTCATCCTCTGCCTCCTCCTCATCACCATCATCCTCCTCATTCTTCTCCTGCTTCTCCTCCTTCTCCTCCTCCTTCTCCTCCTCCACCATTATGGTTTCTTACGAAGGGCTCCCTGTCGCACCCCGAGGCCGGAAGGAAGGGCGGGTCGTGCGTTTCGCTTGAGGATTCCTCCGCCTCCTCCTCCTCCTCCTCCTCATCTTTCGCCTCCTCCTCCTCTTTCTGCTTCTCCTCCTCCTTCTCCTCCTCCACCTCCTCCTCCTCTGTCAGTCGGGGCGATCTGATCTTGTGCCCTTCTAAACACGTTCGGGAAAGCCGTGGCAACGAGTGACAAATCCAGGACAGCATACAACCTCCCCCTCCCCCTCCCCCTCCCCCCCCTCCTCCCCCCCCCCCCCCCCCCCCCCCCCCCACCCCCCCCCCCCCCCCCCCCCCCCCCCCCCCCCCCCCCCCCCCACCCCCCCCCCCCCCCCCCCCCCCCCCCCCACCTCCCCCCCCCCCCCCCCCCCACGCCCCCCCCCCCCCCCCCCCCCCCCCCCCCCCCCCCCCCCCCCCCCCACCCCCCCCCCCCCCCCACCCTCCCCCCCCCCCCCCCCCCCCCCCCCCCCCCCCCTCCTCCTCCTCGTCCTCCTCCTCCTCCTCCTCTTCCTCTCACATTCGGGGCAGCATGGTAAGAGATTGTTCAAAACCCGTTCGGAAAACTATTGGCAACATGGTAACCGTGGCAGGTCAACATTCGTCGAAGAGGACCCCAAGAAGACTCCCATTGAGCCAAAACGGCGTTAGGTCGACCTGTTCAACCTACCTTTTGACGACTCATACAGCAAATGTTCCCGCCCTCGCCACGCTCCCGAACGGCATCGAAGGCGGCAGTCGCACTGTATGTTCTGCGCCACCCTTATCAGGGCAACTCACCTGGCGATCGTGTCTGCATGGGCTGGTGGGGGAGACGCGAAGCGTCGAGAGGTTCGCCTTCGGCCCCCCCTCGAGGATCGCGGAGGGACTTCGAATGGTTTCGGACGATTGCTGGACGTTGTCTGCCCCTTCCGGGCCGCCGCAGACCTCTGGGGACCTCGGGGGTCTAGGAGCAGGGGCGGGAGCAAAGCTGCCCATTCTGAGCTCACTTTGGTGCTCCTCCTCCTCCTCCTCCTCCTCCTCCTCCTCCTCCTGCTCCTCCTCCTCCTCCTCCGCCTCCTCCTCCTCCTCCTCCTCCTCCTGCTCCTCCTCCGTCTCCTCCGTCTCCTCCGTCTCCGTCTCCGTCTCCTCCTCGTCCTCCTCGTCCTCCTCCTCCTCCTCCTCCTCCTCCTCCTCCGTCTCCTCCGTCTCCTCCGTCTCCTCCTCTCCTCCTCTCCTCCTCCTGCTCCTCCGTCTCCGTCTCCGTCTCCGTCTCCGTCTCCGTCTCCGTCTCGCTCGTCTCCGTCTCCGTCTCCTCCTCCCGTCTCCTCCTCCTTTCTTCCTCCTCCTCCTCCTCCTCCTCCTCCTCCTCCTCCTCCTCCTCCTCCGTCTCCTCCGTCTCCTCCGTCTCCTCCGTCTCCTCCGTCTCCGTCTCCTCCTCGTCCTCCTCGTCCTCCTCCTCGTCCTCCTCCTCGTCCTCCTCCTCCTCCTCCTCCTCCTCCTTCTCATCGCCCCCCTTCCTTTTGCTGCTGCGCACAGCTGAACAGAGAGTACCGAAGCGTCCACCACGTGAGCCATCGTCACCATCACCACCATCACAATCGTCATCCGCAGCAGCACCATACTTGCTGTGACCACAACCATTCCACCCGAGCCTGATCGCTCACGCTCTCGTTTTTGTGCGAGCCGAGCAGGTACTCGGGCGCGCCGTAGTCGTCCATCCCGCACCTGCCAAGTCATGCTCTCCTCGTCGTCCTGCTGCTCGTCGTCGTGATCCTCCTCCTCCTGCGCCTCCTGCGCCTCCTCCTCCTCCTCCTCTTCCTCATCCTCCTTCTCTCGCCTCCGCCTCCCCATCCTCGTCCTCATCACAAATGTTCCTCTTCTTCCTCAGTGCCATCATCCCCTCCTCATCCTCGATATCCTCCTCCGCGTCCTCCACCTCCTCCTCCTCCTCCTCCTCGTCCCCCTGCCAGGATGTTGATGGTCCCGAGGCCCGACGAAAGCTCAGGCACCATTTTGTTTCAGACGCCGGATGTCTGGATCGCGCCGCATCGACAATGCATCGCTGATGCGTCGGCGATGCATCGGCGACGTCGGCGACGCACTGGCGCCGTCGGCATGGAGAAATCCAGTTTCCACATTGAGCCGCATCGTTTATGCATCAGCGATGCGCCGATGCAACGGCGATACGGCGCGATCCGCGATCCTCCGACCCCATCTACTCGGACTCCGTCTAGGAGGCCTGTGGGTATGTCGCGGTGGGCGTTACAGAAGAAGTGATGTCACTGTGCGCAAGGAAGAGCCACTGTGGTGCAAAAGCGGCGCGCCTGTGCCACAAGAGGACGGGCCGACTGGGCGTGGACATTCCCAGCACGCTCTGGGTCGGCATGGGCGCGTGTGGCAGCGTCTGGGCCTGACCTCGACCCCCCTCCCTGGCGCGCGCCAAGGGCGGCGCCGGAGGCGCCGCCGGGGGGCCCAACGCGGATCCAAGATATCCGCGAGGCGCTCCAAAAGTGTATGGTTATGTTTCTGTTTTCTTCTTCGGGCGCGCGGGGCGCGCCAGTGGTGGCGCCGGAGGCGCGGTCGGGGGAGCCCCAGCGCGGATCCAAGAAATCCGCGCGGAGCGCCAAAGAGTTTATGTTGATGGCGTTTTGTCTTCTTCGAGCTGAAAAGAAACCTCTCCGACCCCTCTAAGAAGCCCAGCGGCGCCTGCAGACAAGCGCGTTTCACTACTCGCCCAGTTCGGTAACTACTCGCAAATGGCCTGCCTGGATCCGCCGCGGGGGATACATGATCAATTCCATTTAGGATTAAGTCGGGCGTGTCCCCCTACAGGGGGATTTTCGACGAAAAATAAAAAATAGCCCAAAAAATAATCAAAAAATTGTCCAAATATAGTCTGGGTGCTATTTTTTCCCATTTTTTGACAATTTGGGGGTAGTTCGGGGGCATTTTTTATTTTTCGTCGAAAATCCCCCTGTATGGGGGACACGCCCGACATAAATTTAGGAAAACCTGTTTTTGCTCGGACGGTTGCGAGCAGGCACTCTAAACCGCGCTCGGTGCGCCTGCGCGCCGCGCGGCGCCTGTGGGCGCGCACGGCGCGCGCGCGCGCGCCCACGGGCGACCAGCCGCTGACGCCGACCCCGCGCGCCGCTGGAAGCGCCGTTGCCGGCCTGGCGGCGGCGCGGCCGGGCCGCGCCGGCCAGCGGGAATCCCGACCCCAGGCCCCAGGCTCCCCATGGGTCGGACGTCCATTCCCGGCAGGGGCCCTCCCCCGGGGCGGCGCCCTCGAGCCCGGCTGGCTCCGGGGAGGAGGAGGAGGAGGAGGAGGAGGAGGAGGAGGAGGAGGAGGAGGAGGAGGAGGAGGGGGAGGAGGAGGAGGAGGAGGAGGAGGAGGAGGAGGAGGAGGAGGAGGAGGAGGAGGAGGAGGAGGGGGAGGAGCAGGATGAGGAGGAGGAGGAGGAGGCAGTGGGCGAGCGCGCTCCGCGGCGCGCAGAGCAGCTGCTCGCAGGCGGCCAGCTGGGATCCCCAGGCTCGCCACGGGTGGGGCGCCCTTGCCCCGTGCACCCGTTCGGCCTCGCGCGCGCCTCGGTGCTGCTCGGTGGCCCCAAGGTGCTCCCTTCGAGGGCCCCCGCCTCCGAGGTCCCCCCGTTGTGCTCTGTGCTCCGGCGCGGAGCGCCAAAGAGTTTGTATGCTCAGGGAGCTGCTGCTTCTCGCCTCCGAGTGACGAGAGAGCCTCTCCGAGCCTGCAACGAAGCCCCCCCAGTTGTGCTCTGGGCTCCGGCGCGGAGCGCCAAAAAGTTTCTGCTCAGGGAGCCGCTGTTTCTCGCCTTCGAGTGACGGGAAAGCCTCTCCGAGCCTGCAGCAACGCCTCGAGGAGTCCGGCGGCCCGCGCCCGTAGACGAGCGCGCTCCCCACGCCTCGCAGGGCATGCGCCCGTCGTGGGGGGGACTCGCGGCCCGTTCCATCAGAGCCGGCATGTGCTGTTGCTTCTGGCTCCGGGGAGGGGCCACGGTTATGTTCTGGGCTCTGGCGCGGAGCGCCAAAAAGTTTGCGTTTGTGGAGTCGGTTTCTCTCCTCCGAGTTGAGAGAAAACCTCTCCGATTCTTCAAGACGCCTGATGAGGCCAGCGGCCCGCGCCTGCAGACAAGCGCGCTCCCCACGACCCGCAGAGCAGCTACTCGCAAGTGGCCGGCACCCGTCGTGGTCCGTTCCATCAGAGCCGGCACGTGCTTTGGTTTTCTGACGCTGGCGGGCAGGCACTTTGCAAGGGTCGTGGAGCGCGCTCGGTGACAGAGGAGGGGGGGAGGGAGGGGAGAGAGAGAGGGGGACGAGAATGCGGGCAAGATTCATGTCCATATCCAGTGCCTCTTGGCCTTTTTGGGAAGCGGCACCACAAGGCCGAGGCGCACTGGATATGGATAAACATCGAGCCTCTAGGGGGCAAATTTATCCATATCCAGTGCGCCTCGCGTTTCTTGGGAAGGGAGCCCGAAACTCCATACTGCAGTGGATATAGACATAAGTATTACCCGCAGAGAACAAGGACAGAAAAGGATAGCGCAACAGCTCCGACGAGCCTGCCTGCCCTGCCCCCGGCGGGGTGCCGATGTCGCCCGGGCCGCCCTCACGCCAGCAAAAGGAGCCGCTACCGCTAAACGGACAGGGGGGGGGGAAGCCACCCCCAGAGCCAGCCGGGCTCGAGGGCGCCGCCTCGGGGGAGGGCCCCTGCCGGGAATGGACGTCCGACCCATGGCGAGCCTGGGGCCTGGGGTCGGGATTCCCGCTGGCCGGCGCGGCCCAGCCGCGCCGCCGCCAGGCCGGCAACGGCGCTTCCAGCGGCGCGCGGGGTCGGCGTCAGCAGCTGGTCGCCCGTGGGCGCGCGCGCGCGCCGTGCGCGCCCGCAGGCGCCGCGCGGCGCGCAACCCCCTGGCGCCGACTCTGGGGTCCCCGACGGCCTAACAAAAAGCAGACATCGGCGGTGGAAAAACCTCCCTTCAGTGAACCTCCCTTGTATAGAGGCCTCCTGGAGGGGGTCGGAGCAGGTGGTGTCGGAGGATCGAGCCGCATCGCCGATACGTCGACGATGTATCGGCGATGCATCTGCGATGCATTGGCGATGCACAGGCGATGCATCGTCGACGTGGGCGATTCATGGGCGACGTCGACGTGAAGCAAATCGGGCTCCACATCGAGCCGCATCGGCGATGCATCGGCGATGCGTCGCGATCCTCCGACCCCAAGGACTCCGACCCCATCTAGGGCCTAGACTGTAGTGAACACGGCCTGGGACCGAAACCGACGGACCTGGACCCACGAAAATGACGGCCGCGACGCCCTCTCGCGAACCGAAAACGGCCAATTCCTTACTCGACGTGTCAGGGTACTCCAGATTTCGTAATAAAAGGGAGGGGGTCTCAACCCTCCCAGACGAGAAATGGTAGACCCCCCAGACCATCCATGAAAGGGCGGCCCTTTGCTCAGACCCCCCCGAACCCTCCAAGACAGCTCAAATTAGACCCCCCCCCGAATGTGACCCCCCCCACCTTGTTATGGAATCTGGAGTATAGGAGGTCTGTCCACCCCCGAAGAAAACGGGCCTGCGTCGCTCCGGACGTGGCGCGCCCCGCCGCCTGCACACCCGAGCAACCGGCGCCAGCCAGCTTCCAGCGCGCCTTGCGGCCCGCGCGCAGATCGGCACCTCCGTGGACCGTGGCGCCACTGTGGGGCATCCTTAGGTCGGGCATGCCCCCCCCCTACAGGTGGACTTTGGGCGAAAATGGAACACAATGCCCGCCACAAAGATTCAAACATAGCGAGAGGAATCCTAGAAAAACAATCCCCCGGCTATTTTTGTTGCAGATTCCTCCTGAAGAGGGACATGCCCGACTCCAGGGCATCCCCAACAGCGGCCCAGCGCGAAGGCCGCGGAACAGCGGCCGGCTGCTCTCGCGGCGCGCCAGAGGAGAGGAGAGGCAAGCACCGGTGCGCCAGCGGTGAGCTGCAGCGGAGCGCGGCCCCAAGAGCAAGGGCGGGACG